AAGCATAAGGGAAATTACCAATAGGCCCCTGGCTGCCTTCAAGAGGGAACTGGACGGATATTTCAAGTTGGTACTGGATCAGCCGGGCTGTGGTTCGTACTTTGAACTACGTGCGGCCAGCAGTAACAGCCTCGTTGTTCAGGCCCTGATCCACCGGGAGACCCGGTCGTGGACCAAGCACGGGGGCGTTGATCCCCGGAATACCCTCCAGGTAGACTCCTGGTAACTCCAGATATATATTCTTGTAAATCCAGACATAAACAAACCAAGGTAAACTTGGTTCTTGCTTAATTAATAAGTGACAAAATACTGAAGACAATAAGTGAAATAATCACAAGGAAAAAAGTAACAGATGAGCATCGGAGCTCCAAGTGAAGGAGCTTAAACCTCTATATAAACCAGAGCTCCAAGTGAAGGAGTTTAAACCTCTATATAAACCAGAGCTCCAAGTGAAGGAGTTTAAACTTCTATATAAACCAGAGCTCCAAGTGAAGGAGTTTAAACCTCTATATAAACCAGAGCTCCAAATGTAGGAGTTTAAACCTCTATATAAACCAGAGCTCCAAGTGAAGGAGTTTAAACCTCTATATAAACCAGAGCTCCAAGTGAAGGAGGTTTAAACCTCTATATAAACCAGAGCTCCAAGTGAAGGAGTTTAAACCTCTATATAAACCAGAGCTCCAAGTGAAGGAGTTTAAACTTCTATATAAACCAGAGCTCCAAGTGAAGGAGTTTAAACCTCTATATAAACCAGAGCTCCAAGTGAAGGAGTTTAAACTTCTATATAAACCAGAGCTCCAAGTGAAGGAGTTTAAACCTCTATATAAACCAGAGCTCCAAATGTAGGAGTTTAAACCTCTATATAAACCAGAGCTCCAAGTGAAGGAGTTTAAACCTCTATATAAATCAGAGCTCCAAGTGAAGGAGTTTAAACCTCTATATAAACCAGAGCTCCAAGTGAAGGAGTTTAAACCTCTACATAAACCAGTGCTCCAAGTGAAGGAGTTTAAACCTATATATAAACCAGAGATCCAAGTGAAGGAGTTTAAACCTCTATATAAACCAGAGCTCCAAGTGAAGGAGTTTAAACCTCTATATAAACCAGAGCTCCAAGTGAAGGAGTTTAAACCTCTATATAAACCAGAGATCCAAGTGAAGGAGTTTAAACCTCTATATAAACCCGTTCTAATACTTCTTTCTGTCTAAATGTCTAAGAGGAGTTTGACACCAATGGCGGTTTTTAATGTTTTAAATGTGGGAAACTGAATTAATGTGGTTTTTATTAAGTCTGAGAGTGGTTTTTAAGTGTGGTTTTTCTTACAAAGCAATTTTAGCGTGGTTTATAAGTGTGGTTTTTTTATAAACCAATTTCAGTGTGGTTTTTAAGTGTGGTTTTACTTATAAATCAATTTTAGTGTGTTTTTAAGTGTGGTTTTTCTTATAAACCAATTTCAGTGTGGTTTTTGAGTGTGTTTTTCTTATAAAGCAATTTTAGCGTGGTTTTTAAGTGTGGTTTTTCTTATAAAACAATTTCAGTGTGGTTTTTAAGTGTGGTTTTTCTTATAAAGCAATTTTAGCGTGGTTTTTAAGTGTGATTTTTCTTATAAAACAATTTCAGTGTGGTTTTTAAGTGTGGTTTTTCTTATAAAGCAATTTTAGCGTGGTTTTTAAGTGTGGTTTTTCTTATAAAGCAACTTTAGCGTGGTTTTTAAGTGTAGTTTTTCTTATAAACCAATTTCAGTGTGGTTTTTAAGTGTGGTTTTTCTTATAAACCAATTTCAGTGTGGTTTTTAAGTGTGGTTTTTCTTATAAAGCAATTTTAGCGTGGTTTTTAAGTGTGGTTTTTCTTATAAACCAATTTCAGTGTGGTTTTTAAGTGTGGTTTTTCTTATAAAGCAATTTTAGCGTGGTTTTTAAGTGTGGTTTTTCTTATAAACCAATTTCAGTGTGGTTTTTAAGTGTGGTTTTTCTTATAAAGCAATTTTAGCGTGGTTTTTAAGTGTGGTTTTTCTATATAAACCAATTTCAGTGTGGTTTTTAAGTGTGGTTTTTTCTTATAAAGCAATTTTAGCGTGGTTTTTAAGTGTGGTTTTTCTTATAAACCAATTTCAGTGTGGTTTTAAGTGTGGTTTTTCTTATAAAGCAATTTTAGCGTGGTTTTTAGGTGTGGTTTTTCTTATAAAGCAACTTTAGCGTGGTTTTTAAGTGTGGTTTTCCTTATAAACCAATTTCAGTGTGGTTTTTAAGTGTGGTTTTTCTTATAAACCAATTTCAGTGTGGTTTTTCTTATAAAGCAATTTTAGCGTGGTTTTTAAGTGTGGTTTTTCTTATAAACCAATTTCAGTGTGGTTTTTAAGTGTGGTTTTTCTTATAAAGCAATTTTAGCGTGGTTTTTAAGTGTGGTTTTTCTTATAAACCAATTTCAGTGTGGTTTTTAAGTGTGGTTTCTCTTATAAAGCAATTTTAGCGTGGTTTTTAGTGTGGTTTTTCTTATAAACCAATTTCAGTGTGGTTTTTAAGTGTGGTTTTTCTTATAAACCAATTTTAGCGTGGTTTTTAAGTGTGGTTTTTCTTATAAACCAATTTTAGCGTGGTTTTTAAGTGAGGTTTTTCTTATAAAGCAATTTTAGCGTGGTTTTTAAGTGTGGTTTTTCTTATAAACCAATTTTAGCGTGGTTTTTAAGTGTGGTTTTTCTTATAAAGCAACTTTAGTGTGGGAATTCTTATAAAAAATAAATATGGTTTTTAAACTTGGGTATAATTGTAAAACAATCTTTAATGTGGTTTTTAAATGTGAATATCTCTCTGAAGCACTAATGGTTTTTAAGTGTTAATAATTCTCTAAAACACACTTTAATGGTTTTTAAGTATCCCTCTATAGCCTCGAATATTGCGGTTTTTAAGTGTGGATGTCTCTCTATAGCCCCCATTATTGCGGTTTTTAAGCGTGGGTATCCCTCCATACCTACCATTATTGCGGTTTTTAAGCGTGGGTATCCCTCCATACCTACCATTATTGCGGTTTTTAAGCGTGGGTATCCCTCCATACCTACCATTATTGCGGTTTTTAAGCGTGGGTATCCCTCCATACCTACCATTATTGCGGTTTTTAAGCGTGGGTATCCCTCCATACCTACCATTATTGCGGTTTTTAAGCGTGGGTATCCCTCCATACCTACCATTATTGCGGTTTTTAAGCGTGGGTATCCCTCCATACCTACCATTATTGCGATTTTTAAGCGTGGGTATCCCTCCAAAACCTACCATTATTGCGGTTTTTTAAGCGTGGGTATCCCTCCATACCTACCATTATTGCGGTTTTTAAGCGTGGGTATCCCTCCATACCTACCATTATTGCGGTTTTTAAGCGTGGGTATCCCTCCATACCTACCATTATTGCGGTTTTTAAGCGTGGGTATCCCTCCATACCTACCATTATTGCGGTTTTTAAGCGTGGGTATCCCTCCATACCTACCAATTATTGCGGTTTTTAAGCGTGGGTATCCCTCCATACCTACCATTATTGCGATTTTTAAGCGTGGGTATCCCTCCATACCTACCATTATTGCGGTTTTTAAGCGTGGGTACCCCTCCATACCTACCATTATTGCGATTTTTAAGCGTGGGTATCCCTCCATACCTACCATTATTGCGGTTTTTAAGCGTGGGTATCCCTCCATACCTACCATTATTGCGGTTTTTAAGCGTGGGTATCCCTCCATACCTACCATTATTGCGGTTTTTAAGCGTGGGTATCCCTCCATACCTACCATTATTGCGGTTTTTAAGCGTGGGTATCCCTCCATACCTACCATTATTGCGGTTTTTAAGCGTGGGTATCCCTCCATACCTACCATTATTGCGATTTTTAAGCGTGGGTATCCCTCCATACCTACCATTATTGCGGTTTTTAAGCGTGGGTATCCCTCCATACCTACCATTATTGCGGTTTTTAAGCGTGGGTATCCCTCCATACCTACCACTATTGCGGTTTTTAAGCGTGGGTATCCCTCCATACCTACCATTATTGCGGTTTTTAAGCGTGGGTATCCCTCCATACCTACCATTATTGCGGTTTTTAAGCGTGGGTATCCCTCCATACTTCCCATTATTGCGGTTTTTAAGTGCGGGTATCCCTCCATACCTACCACTATTGCGGTTTTTAAGCGTGGGTATCCCTCCATACCTACCATTATTGCGGTTTTTAAGCGTGGGTATCCCTCCATACCTACCATTATTGCGGTTTTTAAGCGTGGGTATCCCTCCATACTTCCCATTATTGCGGTTTTTAAGTGCGGGTATCCCTCCGTACCTCCCATTATTGCTGTTTTTAAGCGTCTGTATCCCTCCGTACCTCCCATTATTGCGGTTTTTAAGCGTGGGTATCCCTCCATACCTCCTATTATTGCGGTTTTTAAGTGCGGGTATCCCTCCGTACCTCCCATTATTGCTGTTTTTAAGCGTGGGTATCCCTCCATACCTACCATTATTGCGTTTTTTAAGCGTGGGTATCCCTCCATACTTCCCATTATTGCGGTTTTTAAGTGCGGGTATCCCTCCGTACCTCCCATTATTGCAGTTTTTAAGCGTGGGTATCCCTCCGTACCTCCCATTATTGCTGTTTTTAAGCGTGGGTATCCCTCCATACCTCGCATTACTGCGGTTTTTAAGCGTGGGTATCCCTCCATACCTCCCATTATTGCGGTTTTTAAGTGCGGGTATCCCTCCATACCTCCCATTATTGCGGTTTTTAAGCATTGATATCCCTCCATACCTCCCATTATTGCGGTTTTTAAGCGTGGATATCCCTCCATACCTCCCATTATTCCGGTTTTTAAGCGTGGGTATCCCTCCATACCTCCTATTATTGCGGTTTCTAAGAGCGGGTATCCTTCTACACCGCCCATTAGTTTGGTTTTTAAGCTCCGGGTATCCTTCTGATCCCGTTGGCAGGGAAGTGCGACCTTGGGCACAGTATTTATACCCTGGTGGGTGGGTAT